TGACTGCATAGCCAACCTAGCTTTTGACAATACAGACAGGCTTGTCTATAATTCTTTCTCAGAACTACCAAATCATGCATGAACTTAGACAAGAATCATTATCCTAACCTTCGTTTTAAAACAACACAGATTGGGGGAGGCGGGGAGGAAAATGGATGGACAGCACACCATGATTGCAACAACTTCAATTGACTTAGATCTGTACAATTATCATTTAATATTGTTACAGGTACAAACTATATTGTTATGAGGCAAGGGAGCTACATCTATGGCATATCAAAATGTGACGCGACACAGAAGAAAGCTCCAAATACATTTACAAGGGATGGAGGATTGGTAGGATTCAGGGAGAATCGTTCTATATATGGAATCAACATATTACCGATTTAACTTCCTAGCTGAAAACGACCATACATTTGAGGAACCCAACGGAAGAGAAACAAAAACAAAGATATACTCACTTCTAGATCGACATCTAATTTTTGGTCTTGGTTCGACAAGGGTACTGAATAGGCATTATATCAATGATTGTGTTCCTCTATATTTGCGAATGAAGGTTTCAGCTGGTTTGTTAAGTGCATGTGCACTTGGAATGGCATATGGTTCAGCTGTTGCCTGCTTGTTTCAAACTAACTTCCCTTTGGCCATAAATTTTTCAAATAATATTTGGAAAAAAATTTGGCAAATAATGTTTGTCCATACAATTTGTGATTATTTGGTAAATATTTTTGACAAATATCCCAAATTTCCAAATACTAGTTTTTTCTAGTATTTGGGCCAAATATCATTATTTGGGATATTTTAAAAATTAAAATTTTACCCCAATCTTTTATCTTTTACAAAAACACCCTCTCTAGTATTTGCTTGCGTTGTATTACATCATTTTTTACGTGAACACCAAAATAGTGATGAAATATTTAGTGAATATTAAATAATGATATGATTGTTGATGAAAATTATTAAAAATTGGCTTTAGGTAACAAAGTCATGTACTTTATCTACTTCACGATGTATGGAATAATTCTTGTTGCACTCACTCCAAATTACCACATTGCTTCAGTGTCATGGACATTATTTGTTATTGTTGTAACTAACATTCAATTGACCTGTAATACAAACTTTTTGTTAGTTTTGTTAGTTTTTAAAACTTGTGTGTATAAATCATATTTCTCTAAAAAGGTGAAATATATTTCCCAAATTTTATGGCCAAACACATGGTGAAATTTCACCCAAATTTTTACTCAAATAATATTTGCCAAGAATATTTGGAAATCTATGGTCAAACGCTAGCTTCCCGAGTATCATTTTTAACCAAGACACTTTACTAGGATGGATAATGTCTCTCTTGCATGGTTTTGTTAGAACAAAAATACTCAAGAAATTGATTTGAAAAAACAAAAATAGAGTGAACTTATGAAATTCCTTGTGTATATTAATTTGCAGAAAATCTAAATTTATACAAAGAAAAAAACTTAACATTAAAACTAAAATAAGAACATGTGCCATTAACTACCTTAAAAGGGGGCCACTAACAGCCATAATGGGGCCACTAACTTCAGAAAGTTGAGCAACTAAAGTTGACTAAGCCTAGCTAGAAAATAGGAAGCACTAAATTGAAATAAGTAAAAAACAGTAAAAATAATAATAAGCTGAAAAATGTTAATTGTCTAACACTCCTCCTTGGCATTTTTGTGGCAAACACCAATTCTTTGTCTCAGATCTTCAAACCTTTCCTTTGGCAATGACTTGGTGAAAATATCAGCTAGTTGGTTCTCAGATGAATAATAAGCAAGCAACACTTCATTAGATTGTTGGACTTCTCAGATAAAATGAAATTTGATCTTGATATGTTTAGTTCGACCATGAAACACTGATTTTTTGAGATTGAAACTGCTGAACTGTTGTCACACATGATTTTTGTAGCTTCTGTTTATTCATGTCCTAAGTCCTTCATCATCTTCCTTAGCCAGATAACTTGATTCACAGCAAATGCAACAGCTATGTACTCAGCTTCTACTGTTGATTGAGCCATAGTTTCTTGTTTTCTAGAGCTCCAACTAAAACAACTTGTCCCCAAACAGAAAAGATATCCAGATGTGCTTCTGGAATCATCAACTCCACCACCCCAATCACTATCAAAGTACCCGATCAGGTTCATAGTTACTGCGGCAGATGTTGGGAAAAAATTCCAAACTTGCTAGTTCCTTTAATATACCTTAACATCTTTTAGCAGCTGTGAGGTGTGTGTCTCTAGGAGAATGCATGAACCTAGAGATCAAACTAACAACAAATAGAATGTCAGGCCTGCTTGCAGTTAGATATAGAAGACTGCCAATTAAGCTTCTATACATACTATCATCTACTTTTTGAGAATCCTCATCCTTGCCAAGCTTCACACCAGTAGATATTGGAGTACTCACAGGTTTGCAGTCTTGCATTTTGAACCTGTTCAGGATATCCAAAATGTATTTTTGCTGGCATATGAAAATTTCATCACTAGACTGTAACACTTCCATACCGAGAAAGTACTTCATGACTCCAAGATCAGTAATTTAAAAGATTTTCTCCATTTCATTTTTGAACCTTTGGATTAGTTCAATTTTGCTTCCTGTCACAAGCTTGTCATCCACATAAATTGACACAATTAAGGACTTACCTGCAACATTGACTTTCACATACAAAGTAGCTTCACTTTGAGTTCTACTAAAGCCAAGTTGGATGAGATGATTGTCCATCCTCTCATACCATGCCTCTGGGGCTTGTTTTAAGCCATACAAGGCCTTTGTTAGGAGATAAACTTAATCCTCTTTTCCAGGAGCTGAGAAATCATCAGGTTGCTCTACATAGATCTCTTCAGCAAGCAAACAATTCAAGAAAGCCAATTTGACATCAAGTTGATGAATCTGCCAAGAACTATGAGATAGAAATGCAAGAATAAGCTTGATTGTGTCAAACCTTTCTACAGGAGCAAATCTTTCCTAGCAATCCACACCATATTTTTGTGTATCCCTACACCACCAATCTAGCCTTATGTTTGCAAATTGTTCCATCAGGATTGAGTTTTGTCTTGAAAATCCATTTTGCACCAATTACCTTGCGATTTCTAGGTCTGTCAACAAGCTGCCAGGTTCCATTCATCTTGATCATGTTTAGTTCTTCTTGCATAGCTCTCCTCCATGCCTGAGAGTCTTGTGCTTCAGCATAGGTTCTTTCAGATCTAACCAAGTTACACCGCTGATAGACATCTTTTAAGCATCGAGTTCCCCTCACTGGTGCATCATCCACTAGTTGATCTTCTGAAAGTTGAGGCTGCTCTATTGAAAATGAATCAAAATAAGAGGTCTTCTGATTTTTCCAATCCCAACTAGCTGCTTTATCAAACTTCACTTCTCGGCTGAGAATTAGTTTGTCTGATTTCAAACATAAAATCGTGTAACCTTTGGATGAACTATAGCCCATAAATATGCCTTTATGAGCCTTGTTATCCAGTTTACTCCTTTTTGTTTCTGGAACTCAATAATAACATATACACCCAACAATTCTGAGATGGTGTATTGATGGTTTGTTCTCACGCCAAGCTTCATATGGAGTCATGTCCTGCAAGGCCTTAGTAGGCAATCTGTTCAACAAATATACAGAGGTATTGACTGCCTCAGCCCAAAACTGATTTGGGATCTTTCTTTCGAACAAAAGATATCTGGCCATCTCCATTACTGTCCTGTTCCACCTTTTAGACACACAATTTTGTTGTGGAGTGTATGGTAATGTCAATTGGCGTTCAATATTGTGCTATTACAAAACTCCACAAATTGAGAAGAAGTGTATTCTCCTCCATTGTCATACCTTAAAGCCTTAATACTAAGATTACATTGATTTTCTACTAAAGCTTTAAATTGTTTAAAAACATCAAAGACTTCACTCTTCAGTGTTATGAAATAAACCCAAGTGTAATCATCAATAAATAGGAGAAAGTATCTGTTACCACTCAGCAAATCTGTTTTCATTGGGCCGCAAACATCCGTATGAATGAGCTGAAGTTTCTAGTTAGCTCTCGTACTTGATTTGCTTGAAATGAAAATTTTGTTTGCTTTCCCGGTTGGCAAGTTTCACAAACTTGAGCATTAGAAAGAAATTTAGGCATATTTTCCACTAGCTCCTTTTTTTTCATCTCGGCGATGCTTCTCAGATTAAAGTTACGAAACCTTTGGTGCCATAGGTTTGTACCTGTTTATGAAGTAATAGTGTAAGACTGCTCAATTATTTCTCCCAATCAACTAAAAACATTCTGTTGCTCATCTTGGAATAAAATAACTCTAATCTAGAAGGGTCAGAAACAATACATTCACGATTCTCAAAATGCAGAGAATAATTATTTTCAAGCATTTGTCCAACACTCAACAAATTTTGACTCATATCAGGTGTGTACAAAACGTCAGAAATAGTTTTGATACCTAATATTGTTGAGATAGACACTGTACCTCTGCCTTTGACTTCTACTGTCTCACTATTTCCCACTTTTACTTTAGATTTGTAAGTATCATCTAGGAATTTGAATAGTTCAACATTATTGCACAAGTGATGAATGGAACCACTGTAAGAAGGCATGAATCAAAGGATTCACTGATTCAAAAGTATGAAACTGCAAATAGTTGCTCTTCATGTGCATCGTTAGCTTCTACTACTTGTGCTTGCAAAGCACCAAAGGCCTTTACTCTTGATTTGCTGACCTTGGATGCGTGACCCGTATGCTTACAGTTTCCACATATAGCATCGACTCTCCACCAACAATACTTCTCCAGATGTGTATTTCTTTTATAATGTTTGCAAGGAGGGAACTTCTGCTTCAAATCTACACTATTGTTTCCTCCATCATGCTTGCTCTTATTATTTTGGTGGAATTGTTTCTTTCCTTTTTGCTTTTGTACAGAGAAACCTCCTTCAATGAACTTTTCCCGTCTCATAGTCCTCCTTTGCTCTTGTGCTTGAAGAGCACTCATTAGTTAACCTAATGAAAGTTTGCTGAGGTCCTTGGATTCATCAAGAGAGGAAATATTAAATTCAAATCTCTCAGGAAGAGTCACAATAACTTTCTCCACAATTCGTTTATCTGTAAATTCTTCACCAAGAAGTCTAATGTTATTAACAATTAAGGATATTCGATCAGCATACTTAGTGATAGTTTCATCCTCCTGCATATTCAAGGACTCAAACTGTCTTTTTAGGTTCAACACTTGTATTTGACGTGTTCTATCGCTGCCTTGATATTCTTTTTTAAACATATCCCAAGCCTCTTTTGCAGTTTTGCAATCCATGATTCTATAAAACACAGTATCTACCATATCATTCTGCATAAGCGACTTGGCTTTAAATTTCTTTGCCTTCTCGTCGTTGTTGGATTTTTTCTGAACCAAGGTAGGATTTGCTGGTAGAGTAGCAAGTGGTTTATCTGCCATCACAGTTTTCCATAGTTCATAGCCTTCCAAAACAGCTTCCATCTTCACAGACCAGATTTGATAATTTTCACCAGTGAAAGTGAATGGTGGATTTAAAGGTAGGTTGTTAGATATCATTTCTGTTGTAGGTTAAAACTTTTTTTTGTCCTGTAAGATCAACTAGAGGCTCTGATGCCACTGTTAGAAAAAAAATACTCAAGAAACTAATTTGAAAAAATAAAAATAGAGTGAACTTATGAAATTCCCTGTGTATATTAATCTGCAGAAAGTTTGAATTTATACAAAGAAGAAAACATAAACATTAAAACTAAAATAAGAACATGTGCTACTAACTACCATAAAAGGGGCCCACTAACAGCCATAATGGGGCCACTAACTTCATAAAGTTGAGCAACTAAAGTTGACTAAGTCTAGCAAGAAAATAGGAAGCACTAAATTGAAATTAGTAAAGAACAGTAAAAATAATAATAAGCTGAAAAAATGTCAATTGTCTAGAAGGTTTGTTACCGGTTATGCTTGTAGACTACCTTTAGAGAACCTCCAATGCTGGAAATAGAGGATGTTCTGCTACCAAAATCCAATAATTGGATATTTGAAAATGTCTTGGTGCAGAAAGATATTACCCAGAAATTGTTTTTAAGTACAGAAGAGAAAAAACCAGACGCAAATGACGACCAAGATTGCTATATTAGTGAAGAATCTACGGAGTAGATCCATAAACATGTTACTTCCATCGTCTTTTCGTATAAGTTTCTTATCCTATTAGTGAAGGTTCAACTGCTTATATAATTTATGCTGAAGTAGGTGATGGAGATTTTACTTGAGGAATCAAGTGTTTTCATCTCGTACTACTTCATATTGTCAACTAGCAATGTGGTCATTTTTCTTGCATGTCCTTCCAGCGAACATTCTTATTGAAAGCTAACTCAGAAACATTTTTTAGGAAAGATAGGTTTTTCTTGCATCAGACATCCTAAAACATTTTTATTTTATTTTATTTGCTATCATGAGTTTAAGTTTTTTAACAGACCACTAAAACAGTCCATATTGAAATCTGAAAAGTCCTTAGAAGTAAAGGCCCTAAGAAAGTGAAACTCGCCTGCTTCACATCACTAGAATAAATTTGGTCTTGAGGATACAATAATTCAAACCTGAACAACTTAAAATACTGTCTTATTAGTCAGTATATAAGTGCCAAAAATCCAACATTGCAAGCTAGATCACTGAAACATAATATTATAATGGGAAAAGGGTCAAATATAACCCTAAAATATTTGAAAAGGTTTAGATATATCCTTCGCTTCAAATTTGCTTCACTCATGCCCTCGCCGTCCAACTTTTGGTCCATATATGCCCTTACGGGCGTTAGTTGTCATGTTGGACATATCCAACTCATTTTTCATTTCTTTAAATGCCACATGGAATTGTCATTTCATTTTGACCTTATCACATGACATTTATAAGAAAATGGAAAGATATTCGGACTTATATACACCTAATCCGACCTATAAATCAACTCCTTTTAAATTCACTATCCGACCCATATTTAACAATTTTGTTTAATTTTTATTTTTCGGTAAATTCTAAAAATGAGTAATTGATTAATAAAAAATATGACAGAAAATATAAAATTAACGCCCAAAATTAACAAATAAATATAGTAACCTTAAATCTAACATTTCAATATTGTTTTAAATTTTTTATTTTTCAGTAAATGTTGAAAATGAGTAATTGATTAGTAAAAAAATATAAAAAGTATGAAAAAAAATTAAGGCTAAAAATCACAAATAAATATAGTAACATTTCATTCTACAAGTTTTTTTAAAATTTATATATTTTTCGGTAAATCCCGAAAATGTGTAATTTATTAATAAAAAGGGAAAAATATGAAAACAAAATAAAAAATTTACGACAAAATTCACACAAAAAAATATAGTAATCTTAAATTCAGTAATTTCAACAAATTTTTTTTCATATTTTCCTATTTTTTATTTGTGAATTTTTTGTGTAAGTTTTTATATTTTTTGTTTGTAAACTCATTTTTGGGATTTCCCGAAAAAATGAAAAACTTAAAAAATATTGAAATTGTTGAATTTAAGGTTACTGTATTTATTTTTTGATTTTTGGCGTTAATTTTATATTTTTTTCATATTTTTTATTAATCAATTACTCGTTCAGGATTTATAAAAAAAATAAAAATTTTTAAAAAAGTGTTTAAATTGAATTTTAGGTTACTATAATTATTTGTGAATTTTTTGCGTTAACTTATATTTTTTATTCATATTCTTCCTGTTTTTTTCACTAATCAATTACTTACTTTCGAAATTTATCGAAAAAATAAATATCAAACAAAATTGTTGAAAATCGGTCGGATTATTTATTTAAATGGGTTGATTTATGTGTCAGATTAGGTATTTCTTAGTCCGAATATCTTTCCATTTTCATATAAATGTCATGTGGTAAGGTCAAAATAACATAGCAATTCCATATGACATTTAAAGAAATGAAAAATGAGTTGAATATGTCTAACATAACAACTAACGCCCATAAGAGCATATTTGGACGAACAGTTGGATGGCGAGGACATGAGTAAATCAAACATTAAACGAAGCGTATATCTAGACCTTTTTGAATAGTGTGGAGGCATATTTGACCCTTTTCCGTACTATAATTCATAAGAGATAAACCTCTTTCATAGGGAGCAAAAGTTCATGCATTAAATAAGTGCACATTGTACATCTATGTACTTCTAATGGTTAACTATGCTTTGCATGAGGCTATAACCTACCTTATCACGAAAATTATGTTTTCGTGAAGCGACACTGTGTACCTTTGACAGAGCGTACAAGAATGTGATGACAAGAAAGACCATTCAAGGTGAGAGCAAATATGTTGGGATAAGAAATAATGCAATTACAACCACATACATTAATGAAAGCACTAAACCTTCGAACTAAATTCTGACAAGTATGATGACACGACCCTTGTTGCAAGAGTTAGTGATACTAAATATGAAAAAACTAAGGGAAAAAGCATAAATACCCCCTCAACCTATGTCCGAAATTGCAGAGAAACACTTATACTATAATAATATCCTATTATTACCTGAACTTATTTTATAAGTATTTTTCTATCCCTTTTCAGCCTTTATAGCACTAGCTTGAAAAAAAAGTCAACCAGCGTTGGGTCCACAAGATAGTGCCACGTAAGCCGAAAGGGGTACAAAATTATTAACAAAATAAGTTCAAGGAGTAATAGGACCATATTATAGTATACGTGTGCCTCTGAGATTTTGGGCGTAGGTTGATGGGAAACTTGTGCATCATCCCAAAAACTAATAACTTTTATTTTATACTATGTTTTAGGTGTGGTTGGGAATAGTTCTGAGTTTCCATATTGTAATTCCTTCTTCTCTACCACAATATGTATGTTCAGCTCTAATCACATTTGTAGCTTCTTAAATACACGAAGGCGTTAACCTTAACATCTATCTCGAGTCATATCTTCAAGGCTTTCTAAAGGAACCTATAATTGTGGACTACTTTCAAAAGAAGCTTCAATTTTAGCTCAAGTATTTGTAGATAGTATTGTAACTCTGGCAGGAGGGAAATGAGTAGGCTTTTCATTGTCAGATTTCTTCCTTCACTATTATCTGCATCATCTCCATCTTGCTTTACTTACAAATCTATGTATTAATTATCATCACATACAACCTTTAATTCTCTATATATTTTACTTAGTAACTACATGTAAGAGATCAACTATCTAACTTGAAAAATTGCCAATATAAAGTTATATTATGACTGCCAAAAAATGTATCATAAACATAATTGTTAACTGTAAACAATAAATAGGAGTGGAAAATTGACAATGAATATCACGATGTCAAACTATACCAATAGATACCAAAGATAATTAACTCTTTTTTAGAGGTGGAATAGACTAGTTTTTTGTCATAAACTAAATTTTGTAGAAGTTTAAAAGGCAACGACATACACTAACCTAAATTGATCTTGCACATAAAAGAAAAAAATAAGACAGACACATTAATCATCAACAACATGCATTTCCAGTAGATAAAAACGATCCGAATTAATATTCGCACCGACTTTCAGCCTTACAGTTCCTCTCAACACCCCACACCCAATCATTTGGGGGCAGTTTCCAATTTCATGAAGCCCAATAATTGTGGACTCCATCCCATATGTCACATCCGGGGAGCACCCCTAGACGTAACCGGTGTCGTTGTTCTCGGAGAGGAGTAAGACTAACCTCTTTCTATTCATCATTACATATTATAGGTTAAATTGAGGAAAATTTGGAACTTTTCGTATACATCTATATAGTGAGGTTCGCGTAGACCTCTCGCTTAGATATCATATATACATGGAGAGTTTACATAGACTCCTCACATAGGAAGAATTACATAGGCTTCTACTTTTAGTTCACATACATAATACATAAATATTCTAATAGAAAATGTCTCCTAGATTGAGTGCAACATTCGGCCATAGCCCATACATCATTACAACAACAACCACATACAGGCTTATACAATAATAGTCCTCAAAAGATAGAGAATGAACTAAATAAATGTCTTTAGACTAGAACAACTTCAAATATCTAGCTAGTGGCATCGTCCTCGAAAGGTGAAAACCTACCAAACTTGGAGAATGAGAATCTAAGTTATCTTCCAACCCTTCTCAAAGCTTAACGACCGGAACCTACGTAATTGTAGAAACATAGAATTATGGGTTAGTACACCACTTGTATTAAGTATGGAAACATGCACCTAAAACATTTGAAATCATGCTAAAGGGGACATTTGTTCAAAACCATGCTAAGTTACTTTGAAAAGCCTTATGCACAACCAAGAATCCAAATAAGCCAATAATCACAAATTCCTTAAGACAAGATCATGTACAACATAATACGAACATCATCAAGTATGACCAAATCAACACGTATCATATCATAATCGAGTACATAACCAAGACAACTCCAACATCATGATATTAAAACAAAGCACGTATAAGAGCTCATAACATTACAACATATGCAAGACCCTTACTCATAACCCATCATCAAGTTTGCAAGTGCAATGACCAAGTGAAACC